TAATTTTCACCCAATGATAAATTCATTGATTTTTTTAGATAGATAGAGGAAAGAAGGGAGAGAGAGAGAGAGAGAGAGAGAGAGAGAGAGAGAGAGAGAGGGAGGGAGGGAGAGCAAGCCCATGCAACACTGATGTGAGAGAGAAGAGAGAAACATGGACCGGTTGCCTCCCGTAGGCACCACGACTAGGTGTTTGAACACGAAACCTAGGTATGTGCCCCACCAGGAATAGAACTGGCAATATTTTGGTGTAGGGTTGATGCTCCAACCAACTGAACCACCTGGTGAGGCTATCAGCCAGTTATTGACAGTTGTCCCCTCAGTCTTTGCATGAAAAATACAATTAATATTTTCTGGAAAAGTCCAAGCTGAGTTGAGAAACCATCTGTCAGAAATACAACAAATTGTTGCCTTTTTGGTGAAAGGCCTCATTGTTTCTTTCAACTCTTAATTCTCCTTAAAGATATTTTTTTTTTCTAAATAAGAAAGCTGATCCATATGACTTTTGAGCTCTAACAGCATTGTTAAGAGGTAAGATGAAAATCAACCTTTCTGTATGTTAAAGACTAATCTCTCTCTGTCTCTCCCTTTCTTATCTGATAATTTGTTTAACCATTTCTGCAAAGGGAATTTTAAAACCAAATAAGGTATTCTCTATAGTTATCTCCTCCTTTACTAAGAGAAAAAAATGTCTAAGAAAAAAATTCTCTGTACACATCACAGATTAATTGCAATTTGAGTTGCTAGTGAATGGAAGCCACGGCCTGTGTGATGGTTTCATGCCTCAATGTTAAACATAAAAATGAGACCAATTCTAGTGAATAAAGGTCCACACAGACAATTGCTGTTTCTGCTGGTTCCTCTGGTACCAAGTCTAAGAATAGAAAAACAATTGGCAACACAACAGAACCATGTTTGGTTGCCATTTTTCCCTCCAACATTAGCTGAGGCATGTGTGTGATGGAAGGAGGTAGAGGGTGTTTCTTCTTACTTTCCCTCAGTAATAGAGCTTAGTTCCTTTAAGCACCATTGGAACATATGTTAAAGATAATATATTTAAAATTAATTTAAAAGGTAAAGGGTTTTAATGCCTCTTAATATAATAAAAAATTTATTAAAATGCTTCCAGATATTACAATGCAATGATTTATTTATCACTTCAAGCCTATATCATGAGTATAAATTCCTTTCCAAGTGTATTGATTTTTTTATGCATTTTGGAAGTAGAAAAAGAACTAAAACAGTCTACCAAAATTCTTCTGCACCATTCTTGTTAAACAGACCAGGGCTGTTACGTCAATAGGGACTATTTCAAAACAGTAATATTAACCAATTAGAAGTGTTTTATAAAGTAACAAAGGACAGGTCATATTTTTCTAAGCTGTGCTTTGCTGAGTTGAAATATTAAATATGAAATATTATTTATAAATATAAATACATTTAAATTTTTATAAATACTGGTATTTATAATAAAATTTTCAGAGTTAAGAACACAGAGTCACTGAAATGTCTGAAATATTAAAATGGGTCAGCAACCTTATTGGAGTCTTTGTACAATATAAGAACTCTTGTAGTTATTGTTAACATAAAAAACCTAAAAGGTTGTATTTCTTTTTAGATTCAGAGCTCAAATAGAGTTTACTTAAAATTTAAAGCACTTCTAGTAAGACATTTCAGCCTTGTATAAGTTAAACATGAAGCAAAAATCATTTTGTTACTGTTTTTTTCTTCATGTTTTTCTATTAAAAACTTTCTTAGACCGTAGGTGTTTAATCAAACTCAGAATAAAGGTTTCAGCAAAATATCCTAATTAATTTTCTGGGATATTTATCTCTTGCAGTGATTCACATTCTGAGTACTACATGAAATGAAAATAATTACATGTATTTTTTCCTAGCTTGTGATACGAGGTGTCTTACACTTTGGCTCTGGATTCTTATACTCAGGATTATCTCACTTCAAATGAGGAACTCTATTTCAGAGCACTGTTTGAATGCAGACTAACATCTGGGGACCAGGACAGGGCTGATTGTCAGTTATGCATCCTGGTGTTAGCTCCCTTGTTGTTTTCCATGGAATAAAATGCAACATGAAAGAGTGATGTTGCTACCAGCGTTTGACTTTTCTGCAGTTACCCTTGCATCTCTGATGGGAGAGGGAAGAGCAACACAGATTGTAAAGCAAAACCCATAGGAGACCCCAAATCACTGTGGTCAGTAGACAGAGGCACAGCAGTGTTGCTATTAAGAATGGACCTTGGAGTCCAGGTACTTGGACTCAATTCTCAATTTTGCTTGATAGCTGTATGATGTGGGAAGTTACTTAACATCTTTGCACTTCAGTTTCACTGTCCTCATCTGTAAAAGAAAGTTTGTTACAGGTTTAAGTAATTGTGTGCTAGTATACATTAGAATTAGAATTTTTTTTAAATGACAAAAAATCAAAGGAATGACTGGTCATATTTTTATACACTGTGTTTTGTTGAGTTGAAATATCAAATATTTATAATAAAATATTCAAAGTTAAGTACACTGAGTCACTGAAATATCTGAAATATTGAAGTGGGTTGTCAACCTTATTGGGGTCTTTGAATAACATGGGAATTTCTGTATGTGTTGTTAACATGAAGAATTTAAAAAGTTATATTTCTCTTTAGATTCATATATAAGTATGTATTACCTTAAGATATATTTACTTAAGATTATATATCTCTACTTAAGATATATCTGATATATGATCATTTAAGATATACATATATTTACGTAAGATTTTATATATAATATTATAGAGCAGTTCTTAGAAAGTGGTGCTACCTATGTATTACCTGTATTATATTACCTTATCACTTCTATATCTGAACTACTAGTGAGTAACTAAATGGTTCTTTTCCTGCTTTGTCTTTGAAGGTTCAAAGTTATAGCAAAACATTACTTGTAAGAAGTTGAGTAAGCACAGAATGAGAAACCCTAAAGCAAGGTGCTGAGTTAACAGACAGGATAATCACTCCCTGAATATACATTTATCAAGTTCTCTGCAGAACTTGCAGAGGGTCTTAACTAGCTTTTCTTTAGAGTGATATTCTAGAGACTGGCCGGATGAAAGCCATCATAACAACTGCCTCTCACAGCCTATTACTAAAACAGTAGCCTTGCAAGTAAATATAAGCTCATATAAATCAAAACACTAGAATTTGAGCTTCATAAGGACAAAGGTTTTGTCTGCATTGGGTCACTGCTGTATCTGCAGAGTATAGGCAAGTGCCTAGCAAATGTGTGCTTAGTAACTATTTCTTGAATGAATTGAGTGTCTGAAAGCCTTGACCTTCCTTTAAATAAGATTTATCTCTAAAAGTAAAACAAAACTAGCAAAAAGTAGCAGGCTTTTCCACTTCCTGACAGGTTTCTGACCCTGAGGATGCTGGCGAGCAGGGCTGAGGAGCAGCAGTGAAGGAGCAGAAGTGTAAGTAGGCACATGTAGCAAATATTTCAGAAGTCAGGGATCTGGGTACATATTCACAGGGATGTATGGTGTGGAGTGGTGCTGTGCTTAACTCTGATTCATGCCCACGTGTCACAGTGGAATTACAGATATTTTGTTCAGCATTAGCCTAACCTTAGTGTCTATACTTAACACTTGTTTCTCCCCATGGCTTATAGGAATCTTACCCATGACCAAGAATCATGAAGTAACACGTTTACTCTCTGCAAACATTTTAGCTTACTGTTAACAGTTTGTACCCAGGTTTGACTGAATAAAAAATTCAGTTTGACATGATCCATTTCACAGGCAGGGGTGATTATATAGTATTACTTATCATTTAGCTCACAACCGCAGGTAGTGGATTAAAACAATATAGTATTCACACAATTATATCTGACTTCAATCTAAAGGCATATTTATTTTTATTGCCATAGGAAACATTTTTTTTTGAGAAAAAAAAAGAAGTTCCCTTTTATAGCATGGGTAAGCAAGCGATTTGAATAGGAAACTATTCATTTGTGCATGTTGTAAGTTTTCCTAATTAGCTTTATAATGAAAACAGAAGTTATTAGTCATCCTCTGTTGAGCAATACTCAATTCTATTTGTCTTTTTTAAAATATCATAAAAACAGCAAACAACCTTAAGGATATTATTAATTAATTAGACATAATTTCTTAAAATGGTGTGTCTCATCTCATTTAACCTTGGAGCTTCCAGACATTAATAATGAGTCATTAAAGACCTATCATTGATTTATAATTTGAATTACACATCAGGCTTGGCCCAGGAACTCTCTGTGGGCCTAAAAGGAAACATGTTTATAAGTGAGCCATGGCAGAAATACACAAAAAACACATATCTGTATTCACAGAAGACAATTAGGCCTAATGCAATTAGGGTGAACATTCAAGTTCATTTTATTCCAAGGAACTGTTTTTACTCTTGAAGCTCCATGTAGAAAGGGTCCACTAGGGTTAAAACACTACTGATGATGGTATAATCTGGCTTGGCCCTTGGACATGTAAGGCAAACATTGTACATTATTACACAGTATCAAACATTTACATGGATAACATGGCATCTGATCAAGTTCACACTTGGCGTTTAAGGCTAACCCACGTTGGAAAGCGATCATTTCCAGGATGGAGATCAAATACTTAACACAGTGTCACCTGTCAGAATTGCTAGAAAATATTTATTTAAAAATCGATTCACAGAACGTTTTCATATTTGTCAGTTTCTTTTCACTTTGTGTGCTAGAGGGAGGCACTTTAAGAATTATTAACTGCAGTTTCAGGAGTACAAGACACTGAGTTTCAGCAGTACTTATGGCAAGGGACTAAAGTGAAATGGGATTAAAAAGCAAGTAAACACACCATTAAACCAGAAAATTTCAATAAATCTTGTAAAAGTCACTGATCTCTGATTTGAAGAATTTCTTCACCTAGGAAAATGAAATAGCAGCTATCACCGCCCCCTCCCCCGTCTCCGCCCCACCCCCGCCCCACCCCGTGCCCAAGTGAGTGAATCCCACAACTTGCCGATGTTAAGATAGAATGGTTTTGCTGCTGTTTGGGCTTGTAAGGTTTTTAAAATATTGATGAGTTAGTACTTTGAGTTGTGTTTCCAGAAATATGTCACAGTATATTATGTATAGGTTCCAAAGAGAAAAACTAAAATATCTAATGAAATACGTACGTTGGAAGAATTTAGTAAAACGTATAAAAATTTAAATGCTAAAAAAAAACCCACTCTGTTTTAAAAGAGTAAAAATAAATTACATTGGTTGGTGGGAATCCAGAGTTTTGGTTTTGTTTCTTTTTTAGTCAATTGGTATGTACTGCACGCGCCACAACACGTTGGAAAGTAGGTCCTGGTATACACTAAGGAATATCCAACCAGGTAAATACATCAGGGTGATGAGGCCCATGAAGTTGAGCGGGTAGTGGGAATAGTCCCAGGAACAAGCGCCGCAAGCGCGGAGTCCCAGACCCCAGGACAGCTCCCACACGTAGATGAAGATGACGTAGATGGGCACCCGCTTCCAGGTGCTCCAGCCTCGACTGTAGTGAAGGTGGAAATAGAGTTTTTCCACCATGAAACTGCAGCTGCCATACATAAAGAATGACCAGAGCGACGTGTGGCCACTGGTTGCCCTGTCCCTCTGCCCCAGCACGTTAAAGAAGAAGGTGAAGAAAATCTCATCCAAAAAGCCGTGCATTCCGTAAAAAAGAAAGCGGAGAAGGTCCGGCAGCCCCTTGCTGGGGGCTCCTTCGGCGCCCGTGAGGCCACGGGTTCTTCGCCGCCCACCACCAGCCGCCGCGGGGGCTCGGGTGCGAGGAGGCGCGAGGGACGCGCCCTGTGGCTGCTGCTGCAGCTGCCGTCGGTACCGCAAGCGCAGGAAGCGCTTCAGGAACACTTGCGAGTGGTAGAGCGCCAGTATGTACTGCAGCACCAGGTCCAGCGCCCCCGGCGCTGCCGCGCCCCCCAGCCCGCCGCCCAGGCCGAGCCGCAGCACCTGGCCCGCTAGGGTCTGCAGAACCACGTGCGCGGAGGGGTAGAGAAGAAAATTGAAGACGAAGGGGCTGGGGCAGTGCCGCTGTTGCAGGTACACCTTCTCCAGAGCAAAGTGGGTGAGCAAGTGCAAGAGGCAGCGGAAGGGCGAGGAGAAGCCCAGCATTCGTAAGTCGGGGCTGCGAGCGAAGAGCCTCGCGGAGGACACAAGCACGTCCAGGGTGGTCCCGTGCATTCCGTAGAAGTACAGACGCATCCAAGCGGGCAGCTCCGCGCCCTTGGCCGGAGCTTCAGCAGTGGACAGCGGCTCCGGGCGGTCAGCGGCAGCCTCGCCTTCCCGCTCGCTGGAGGCGGCCGGCCGCCGCGACGCACCGTGTCTGCACGCCAGACCCTCGCCATCTGCATCGCTGCCCGCCATGGGCTCCCAGGCTACCGCGGCGAGCGATCCCACGCCTCCGCCGCTGGGAGCGCGGAGCTGTGGAGCCGAAGGGTCGCGCCCCGCGCCGCCTCCCGGCCGCCGCCGGCCCCCGGGGGGCTCGCGGGGAGCTCCGTCCCGGCCGCGGCCCGGCAGCAGCCGGAGCTGGTGCGCTCCGGAGAGGGGCGAGCCGTCCGGCTCACGGAGTCCCCCAGCCGCGGCCCCGCCGCGCCCTCCCCTCCAGTCCGGGGCAAGGTGCCGCTGGCCGGCGCCCGCGCTCACCCGCCGCGGCCTAAAAGGCGCCAAGGCCCGGCGAGGGGCGGCGGCGGTGCCAGCGCTGCGAGGAGAAATGCCGAGGCTGGTACAAACCCCATCTTCTCCGCGGCTCAGCTCCACCGCCTCTGCCGCAGGCTCTGGAAGCGTAACGCGAGCAGCGACGCCCCTTCTGCCGGCCCTCCCCATGCCCCTCTCCGCCTGTCTGACCTCTCCCGCCTTCTCAGCCACCCTTCCCGCCCCAGCCCTCCGCCGCCAGCCCCTCGGGGGTCCGCTGGAGAAGGCCGGGCCCTAGCTCTCTGCCTCCTTCCTCCCCTCTGCACCAGGATCCCCGGCGGTGCGGGAGGCGTTCGCTAGGGCGGAGGCACGGAGTGGAGAAACACTGAACAGGTGTGACTGCTAGCTAAAGGGGTGTTCCCTGTGTCTCCAAAACCAGAGCCAGGAGTCTGGCTGGTGAAGACGAGTGGCCAAGTGCCACAGACCAGGGGCCGGGCCCCAAACCAAACTATAAGTGTTGTGTATTTACTGTTTTTATTCAAAGCCAGCTGTGTCCCAGTCACGGAACATGAACAGGAGACTCCAAGCCTGCTTACCCCAGTGCTCCCCTGCTTGTGAAATATTGCCAGGGGGCCTGATCCACTTCTTCATCCTCTCTGTAGGGCCAGTCTGCTTTCCTCGGTTAGTTTGCTCCCTGCCAAGGGCAGAGATCAAAGTTCCTCAGAATCAACGCAGTGATTTGAAGCTACTTGGCTCAGACTTTGTTGTGGCTGCGGCGCTACAGCCCTGCAAGAATAGTACCTGTGCTCACCCTGGCACCCCCCCAGTGCTGCTTTTCCTTCTTGCGGAACTAGGTCACCCCAGAAATAAGGAGTGAGATAGAGGGTGAGGGTTTTATTTTCGAGTTGGATGGGGGCGGGACACGAAATCCAGAATTTTGGTGTGTTGGGCTCCACTTTTTTTCTCCAGTATTAAATCCAGGCTTAGAATCTGAAGGGAGTTCAGTTACACTGATTAACCCTCTCCCCCGCCCCCAAATAGAAAGAAGTCAGGTCCACACAGGAACTAGATAAGTTCTCATCTGTTCTTAGATAAGGAGGTCAGACGTTCCCTTGATAGATGGCTAGGAAAGTTATTTTCTTTTGGAGAATAAATTTTCTGACAGCTTCTGTATTTCTACAGTAACATTCTCCAGTTACTTATTTCAACCCCTTACGTTCAACCTGTGGTTGCTAGTTTGTCTGTAAAGTAGATAAAAGGGAAATAAGTATAGTGAGAAAAAAATTGTTAAAGGGATATTAACACTTTGTATAAGGTGAAAGTATTGTTTTAAAAATTTTTTCATAGCATCGTTAGTGTGCAGCTTATTTGAAGAGTGCTTTCGGCAGTGGTCAAAAGTCAGTGGGTGAGTGCTATGATGCCAGGGGCAGAAGCGTCAGGTTGCAGGCTCACCAAACTTGCTGCAAAAGAAAGACAGGTTAGTTGCCCCAGTGCCTGAGTAAGTACAGTGAAGAGAAATAATAACACAAACATTTTCTGAGCACCTACTATATACAAAATGCTGTGTGGACTGGTAAAATACATGGCTGTAAGATTTACTCTCTAAAGTACATAACTAGGTGCTATCATAATCTATCATACCTCTGTAAAACCTACTTATGATTATTATTAACTATGATCAGCTAGTAGTACATACAAAATAAAACATTTCTTTGAGCCATTATTTTAGTAAATAAACTCAATCTTGGACCTGATTTTTCAGGTATTAAAAACAAATGTACTCTTTCTCCATAATTGCTCTTCAGTTGAGGGAAAGCACTTTGTGGTAACAGCATAAATACAGCCGTTCCAACGTGCATACATTAACTTGCAAGATGAAACTTGAATTGTTTTCAAGTAGTAAACAACTTCAAGGGCCCAAATCTTCTAATTATTCTACCTTTTCTTTAAAAATGCAAGGAAAACTTAATCTAAACTAAACTTCAGCTAAATCTATTATCCAGTCTAGTTCTTCTCAGGAAAGCTTCTTAAAAGGACCTCAGGAACAACAAAGCTGTCTGAGTAACATGTCTGTAGAGATGCAGCAGTTCATGTGGAGGCAGCATTGACCTTACTGTACTAGCCAGTTTGGTTCCATACAAACTCTTGCAACCAGAGTAGCCAATGTGACCTGGGAGAGATTTGAGAATTGGAATGATCCTTGGGAGGACTGTGATCATCTTTAGCCTAGTGTCCATAGGTTCAAGGTTGTAGTCTTTTATTTATTTATTTTTTAAAAGATTTTATTCATTTATTTTTAGAGAGAGAGGAAGGGGGGAGAAAGAGAGAGATGGAAATGTTGATGTGAGAGAGAAACATTATTTGTCACCTCCTGCACTTGCCCTGATGGGGGGTGGGGGTGGGAGCAAACCCACAACCCAGGCATGTGCCCTGACTGGGAATGGACCTGGCAACCTTTTGCTTTGCAGTATGATGCCCAACCAACTGAACCACGCCGGTGAGGGCTCAAGGTTGTAGTCTTTAAGATGCATGGAATGTAGGACCTTTCTTTACCACACCAGAAGAACAAAAAGAAAGTGCGTGGAGAACACAGCATACAGAAGAAACCTTACAGGAAGTTCAATAGGGTGAGGCATGAATGTAATGATAGAAAAGCTATGAAAGGCAGCAATCATATTAGCAGTAGATATAAAAACCTCTCTCATTATGGATCAAATTACAAGCACACACACATGCATGCACACACACAGATCTCTTACATACAATAATCACCTAACTATGAAGGAGCACATACATTCAAGAATGCTGGCTTCCTAAAGCTGAGTCTGTTATTTACCATTGGAAGGAAACTCTCTAACTTGACAAAGTTTTAATAGCTTCTTGCAAGGGGTGTGCAACATTATACTATTTATGAGGTTTTTGTATTCTTGTTTTTGATGGGCCTTTCAGTATTCAGGCTTGATTAGAATTGGTGAATGAATTATGATACCATGATTTAGGATTGGTGGATGTTGCCACACAAGGGTTTTAAAGTTAGGGTTTCAAACGTATTGGGAATAAATAGTAAACTTTTATCTCCCTGGGCCAGAGTTTGCTGGAATAGTGAAGTTGTGCTGATGAAGACAGTGGAACAGTAAAGTCACATTAACAAAGACAATCAAATAAAAAAGGGTTGACCATGTAGACGGTAAGTCGTGGGGGTGAATGGTCTTGGGTTTGCATGATCTAATGGTGATGACCAGTTTGGAATCCAAGAGGGGAATTGTTAGAGTAGGGATAGGCAAAGATAGTGAGGAAGCAAGACTGACACTGAGTTTAGCTAGAATGATGCTCATCCCCAGTGGATGTGGAAGGCAGGGGAAAGGAGGGAGGTTGATGGTTCAGAACTATAAAATATTTATATGCATAGATCTGTAGTTTCTTACACTTTATATAACTTTTTTTTAAAATTTTTTTGCCGTATAGTAAAGTTTCAAATTAAACAGTTCTTTCTATGTGTTGCTTAAACAACAAGGGAAGCAAATGGACAGGCAGAAGGTCACTGCTAGTGTGTGGTGCCAGATGTGGAACGATCCTTGAACAGGAGCATGCAGACTTGAATATGACCCTGTCAGAGGATCATCTTGGAAATCTGCCCTGTTGTTCCTATTGTATGTTTTTACAAAACTCTTTTTAACTATACTCTTTGAACCCCTCTTTCTAATAATCTGATTTGTGGGGAGTCAAACCAATATCAGGAAAGTTTCTTTTGGTCCCTCTTCCTGGTGTTTTGTTTTTACATGCTTTTATATTATTAATTTTAATGTCAGGGGCTTTCTTCAGTTCTTGGCACTCTTAGTTTTCAGCAGGAATTATTGCCTGAGCTGAAGCATTTTTTTCTATGATTTCACTGAGTGGGGCTCCTAAAGAACAGAATCTGAGTACATCCTTTCACTTCATAAAACATCAAAAGAGTAACAAGTTGTTTTGGAAAAGCTTGCCTAAAAATAACAGTTCACCTTGAGCAGTATTCAAATCTTTGCCTGACTCATCATAAGTGCTCCGGGGAAACGACTGTATTTCCCCTGCCCAGTTGATTTCATTCTGTTTTCAAAGCAAGTAGCTTATTTTGGATAATGATAGTCCAAGTACATCGGTTAAAAGTTTGCTGGTAACTTAGAGACTTTGTGAAGAGAGATGATCTCAGTTCGTGGATACTACTTATTGAGCACCTACTTATCAGCTGTGCACCTCACATATATTATTAGTAATTAACATAACTGTCCCCTTATGTTTTTTAAACAGATACTGAAACAGGCTCAGAAGAGTTGCTTGCTCAAGGTCTCAGTGTGTAGGTCAAAGGACAAGCTATGGAGCAATTTCTACTTGATGCCAAAGTTCATTTGTGTTACACTGTCACCTCTTATATTCTCATTTTAAAGCTATTTTAAGTGAGTTGTAAATAATAAGAAGATTTAGTAAGAAGAGAGATCAATTCTGTTTTTAGTTCTAACATCAGTCCTTAAACCCTTCCCAGTCACTTCTGCCCTTTTTTATCATGCATTTTATTTTAATCATTGATCTATACAGTCATTTCACATTCCTTTTTTTTTGTACACTTATTTTTATGCCATCTTTTCTACTGGGTTTCTTTATATATTAGAAAACGGCTATATACTTATACAAATGTGGCTATGTGCAAGGATTGGTATCCAATGTGAGAATAGAAGATTAGGTTTAGATAACAGGAGAAAACATAT